CACATCTATGACAAAGTCAGAAGTAATATTTTGAAGTGTCAACGAAAGTGGTTTAGACTGAATCGTGTTCTCTTTCGCCCGTTGAATTTAGAGATCAGGTAGTGTATCTTGATATCTTCTCCTGGATGGTATTCCTAAACTGATTTGATGCAAATGGAGTATTTAATAATTTGAAGCACAATGAACGCCCGTGATAATTGAAAGCGTTCGGCTTACCGTTGCTCCTAAACTCTGAAGTGGGTCATCGTTTGCTTTTACATGTGTTAGTCATATAGAAGTAAGAAGCGTATACCAATTAAAACGATAATGGTGATATCTTTTCAGTTCAAATAGTCGCTTTACCGTTCTAATATTGGCGGCAGACAATCACGGTTTTTTTTCGACCATGAGAGTCTTTTTCATGATGTCCCACTCGGGTTTGACCATAAAGCTGTGTTCTTAAAATAAATAAACTTATCGAATTCGTGACATGAATGTATTTTTTCCGAATAACTACTAATGTTTTACTAACTTTAAGATTTCTCACTGGCTGTTCTGCGGTGCTTTTGGAGATAGTAAATAATATAGCCAAGCTTTATCAGTCATGTCGCGGGTGCATCTGTTCATTTCCTCTATCTTTTTGAACCATTTCGTTTTTGTGCTTTGAGAAACCCTAACTTATTTTTATTCTACACCCTTTCCGATGGATAGTGGAAGACGTTTACCCCATGTTACGAGAACCTACTTTTTTTTGGAAACCAACAATCTATGTATGCTCTTGGATTTGGAGGGACAAACCAAATAGATATGGCACCAAGCTGGGCAACAGCGAGGATACCCACTGCCAAAGCATTTTTTCAGCTTTTTTTGAACTCATGATATCAGTTCGCCCGATGTATTTCAGCAACCTAAATCAGGACACAAGTCTAATGCGAATGATGTACCTGATTTGACTAGGTCCGCTTTTTGGCCCAGTCTTATTGTTTTGTGTGAAGGTACTTTTCAGTTTCGGGTTGTTCGTCAAGTTTGTTACCAACAAAATAATCACCTTTGTTTACCGGTCTTTGAGAAGAATTCTCTTTTTAGGCTAGTAACACGTTTATCGTTGCACATCCTTTTTCATTCTTACATTATAGTGGGAGAAATTACTTGGATGTAAACAAAGGGTGACGAAAGGGCGATAAGTAAAAGCTTTCACACACTGTTTGAGAGCAAAATATATCGGTGAAAGATCAGTGATGTTGCCCTTGTTTCCTCGTTATAACAAGCTGCATTGTTCGAAGACACGGTCGGGTTAGTTCTACTGTTTTGCACATCATTACAAGAAAACCGCGAAATATGCTGTAAGCTGGTAAGCCATCCTTTGGGGTCTGAAGTATTGATCCTCATGATATCACCACGTGGTTTGTTATCGCTTGTTTGACCTTTTCCTCCCTAGGAGACAGAATCTTATTGAATCGTTTTTATTCGGTGTTTATAAGTGTTTTAAGAAGAAGGGCGTATAAGCGTCATTATTTGAATGCGTTGCCATTTTAGATATCATTTATCAGCTATAAGGGATAGATTAGTTATTCATCGATCAGTTATTTATTACTTTTATAAACGTTTTGCTTATTCGATTGCCCATCACTTCCGCCCTAATTCACTGCAGGTGTGGCGTCGATCAACTTTTCTGCGTCTTGGTTACAACGCGCTGATGCGAAAAGAGTTAAAAAAAGAGCAAGAGTTGCGCGACGATATGATTCGCTCGCTTATGCCCAGCGAAGTCGCTCAAGAAGTGATGCGGGATGTGGGTAATGAGGATGCGGATGACGCGATGGATGGTGGCGAAGATGCGGGGTTGGCTAATGGAAAAACTAAAGGCAAACGCGCTACCAAAAGGTCTAAGAAAAACCAGATGGGTGCAGATCCGTCGGCAGATGAGTTTGGAGCGGCGGGTATGGGCTTATCGAACGAGTTTGATGAAGACGATGAAGATAGCGAAGTTCACAAAAAACAGAGTACAGCTAGTAATCCTGATTGGGATGGGCACGGTAAGTTTCTTTGAGTTTTTCTATAGTTGTTGGATCAATTTTTTAGAAAAAGTTAAACGCCAAGATACTCTTCAGAATAGACAATAGTATCGCCAAGGTCTGTACTGTTGAATTAACTACTAGTACCCCAATTGACCTAGTTGGATGTGCTTACTAAGTTTTCCTCATAGCTTGTCACGCAGGGTGATCATATCGCTTATCAGTGAACTTGACATCTGATTCTTTTTTGTTAATAATCAACAGTGCGTATTCAATAAATCCATTTTGGTCTCAACCCCCAAGAAGGTTTGCTTTCTATCTGGACCATCCTTTATGATTCCCTACCAGTTTACCTTCCACCAACTTTAAATGATATAGTACTCAAATGTCCATTGTAGACTTTACCCAGGCTCCACTCTGTGCATCCTTTCGCATCGTTCTATTGAAGCTTCCATCACCGGTTGACCACTGTCTAGTACTCGTCATTTATATAATCCCAGAGACCATAAGTGATTCCCAAGGTAATCATTTGACTTGTGAGTAGACTAGATCGTTTTGTTGACTCTCAACCGGCCCAGGTAATTTCGGTTCTGGGCATGATTCGCTTATTTATGTATACAATTTCTTCTGACTTCACATAAATCATACACAGACAGAGATATTATTGTTCCTACAGGAAAGTGTTTGTGCTTGTGGTTAATCTATAACAACACATCTGACTTGTAGGCCCACCTCCCGAGGACGCTGAAGCAGCATCGGCCTCACCTCGTGCGAGTCTTGCTCCAAAGACTAGCGGTCCACCACGTGCCGTGACGTTCCGCAAATTTCATGTTAGCCAGCTGGAAAATGTTAGTGTGCTGTTTGCCGATATTGTGGGTTTCACAAAAATGAGTTCCAACAAGTCTGCCTCGCACTTGGTCTACTTACTCAATGACCTGTTCGGCCGGTGAGTCCTTTTGTTTCAACTAATTCGTGAAATACTCCCTTGCGCAGAGGACCATGCTCTATTTTCGATATTTGAAATTTTTTTGAGCATTTTATTAGTTGTATTTGGTTGAGTGGACCAAGTTGCTAACATTGGTTTTTGCTGGTACGTAAATCAATAAATTGGAACTTTAACATCGCTATTCGAATCTGTCTGCTGTCAACTCGGCTCTTGTTTGAAATCACGTCAGCCACATAGTTTTCGTCACTGGTTTTCCACTTCAGTCGCTTTGATTACCGGTTGGTAGATACTTGTGACAATACACACAATTCGCTTCGTATCATGGTATTTCTTTGAAGGAGCACAATGTAGGTTTTCATGTTTTCGTTTGTCCGTTGAGATGCTTAGCCGGTCTCTATCTACCTTCACACTCACTTGATTCGTTTTAGTCACGAACGTGGCATTAAAAAACGCTTGTGCACACAAGTGTGAACCACATTGATGAAAAAAGCGCAAACCGTATAAACAGCTTTCAATCACTATTTCCACGGCTCATTTCAATTTCGGTC